CACAGCAACACACACACACAGCAACACACACAGCAACACACACAGCAACACACACACAGCAACACACACACAGCAACACACACACAGCAACACACACACAGCAACACACACACAGCAACACACACACAGCAACACACACACAGCAACACACACACAGCAACACACACACAGCAACACACACACAGCAACACACACACAGCAACACACACACAGCAACACACACACACACACAGCAACACACACACACAGCAACACACACAGTAATACACACCGTCCCAATACTAGCAGTGGTGAAGGAGCGTTCACAATGCGCGCAACGCGTGGAGTTGGGTACAGAGGGGGAGGTCGGAGAGTGACAGGGTGGAGAGGAGTCTTTGGCTGGTTCTTCCGGACGTGGGAACGGCGACGGAAGGAAAGCTAGCAGCTGGTTTTGAGGGGAGGGAAGTGAATTGGGTTAGGGATACGGGATTTGCCGCCCCCCACCCAAGTATGCGAGGGAGGCCGTTTTTTGGTGCAGCGAACTGGTGGCAGTGCGAGTTGGTTTGGTGCCGCCCTTTTGCGAACTTTATCCAGGCCAATGAGCTTGCTCTTGTGTGCTTGCGCCCGGTCACCTGTCACATCTTGGGAGAGGAGTAGCTGAACTTCGTGTCCCGCCAGAGTGCCTTTCCTGACCTAGTTGTGATTTCCAGCGCTGCTTCGGGGATATAGGGAAAGCGGTTGGTTTTAGCTTGCCTGAGAGCCAATCGTGGCCCGGGCAATTGCCGTTTACACACACCTAGCGTTACGATGTTCAGTGCCCTGGTGCTACATTAGGACTCCAGGGAGGGCAGCTTGGCGAGAGCATTTTTCGATGCTGACTGCTGTCTGGCAGTCTCCTGGCACAGCGTTTGAGGCTGTGGCCCTTTCCTTCCTATTCTTCCTCCGTAGACCTGCTGCTGTGTAAATACCCTTACAAGGTATCCGGCGGTTCAGGCTCTGTGTCGGGCAGGCAGGGACAGTGGCCCCTCACCCCCCTACCCTTCCCCCTGGGGAGTGCTTTGGCCGGCGGTCTTCTTGGTTTGGGCTGGGCAGCAGCCCCTCGGCAGCGTCAGGCCCGGCAAGATATGTAACATGCACACATACGCACACGCATACGCACACATAGTGTGTCGCCCAGACAGCTCGACAGTATTGAACACATGCGCGCACAGGTGCGCACTTGGCTGGTCCCGGGAAGCAGAAGCTGGCTGCTGCTGGGTAGAAGGACTTGCACTCCTTTTGCAACCGAATGCGGAGTCTTCGTAGCTGGACTGGCCTTCGGATAGGATGCCTACCAGACTTAACTTTTTTGTCTTGGCTTGGGGTCCACTGGCTGAGGATCAGGCAATATCCGTATGTAAGCCAACTGTCTGGTATAAGAAGGTGGCTAGGGTTGATCGTAGGTAACAACATCTTAGCAGTGCCTCACATTTGTGCATGAGTTAGGCCGTCGAGGAACTGGCTTGCGCCCTGTCCCTCCCTCTCGGAGATAGAAGTGGGGTAGGGCAACCTTTACATGTTGCTGTGTGTGCGTGTGTATGTATGTACTGCTGCCGGCCAGATGCAGATTCTGTTTGCCAAGACTAGGAACAAGGTACGTTATTTGATTACTCAGCTCCTGGATTCGGGTACTTCACTGTACGGACGGTAATTGCAACTATAGCTGCAAAGGTCATCTGAGCTTGCAGATAGACGCAGTGACTCTCACCCAGGGGTGTCAGCAGCTTCTTAAACGTGCTGCAAATACACAAATGCATAATACAGCCATGTATAGGGTTAAATATAGGGTTTGGCACTATTGCTAAGGCGCGACCATTGCCCCCGGGAGATCCCGGGATCGATACCTATTAGGGTCAAAGTCCTTCCGATGGTGGAAGGCATTGCGCCCCAAGTGGTGACCTGGGATAAAGTTAACCTGCGAGCCGACCAGGAACGGAGTTGAGCCGCTGTCGACCCGGCAGATTCCGTTGGATGCTGGAGGTGGGTGGCGATCCACTGAGAAGTTGACTAGGGTGACTGTATGAGGGTGCCCCGAAATACCGGGGAAGGCAGGGTTTCGCAGGGTAGCTGCCACGGGCGAAGATACACCCCCCTGTTTCACACATCATACAGACAGGTAGGCAGGCGGCTGGCAGAGGTAAAGGCCTGACTTCTGCTCCCGGAGTGTCCGGGTTCGAATCCGCCTGCTGACTCCTCGGGTGTTTGAGGAGTGTGGAAATGGACGGTGTAGGACTTAATATACCAACTTGCGAGCTGACCAGGAACTAAGTTGTGGTGCCGTTGATCCGCTAGAAATGTTTGGATGCTGGTGGTGAGTTGCTGAACACAACGAATACGTTCTGAAGTCGGATGGGGTAAATGGATTTGGGTGCCCCTTTCGCAGGAGAGAGCAGGGAACTGCCCCGGGAAAGGGGGCCGCTGGTGAAGCTTTACCACCCTGTAACAACATACACACAGACACACACACGCGAGCGGCTCAGTCCATCACTAAGTCTCACACTTGCTTATCAACGCGAGCCGCCCTAGGCCTCAAAATACATCAACCCAATGGTACAGGCTTTCGTATAATCAAACAAGAAGAGAGAGAAAGAGTGTGTGTGTGTACACAACGTGTATACGACGCTCCATGCCCAACCGGTTTACTTGCCTATCTGTCATTCAGTTCACCCGCCAGTCTGTCTGTCAGTCAGTCTGTCTCCATTGCACCACTATCTAATAAGAACCGAAGTGTGCGTGTTTGCCTGCATGAACACCTCTCTGTTCCCCTAGACCTGTCGTCACCGCGCATCCTCTCATCAGCCGGTCACTAGATGTCGTCACCGTCCCCCATCACTCGGAACTGCCCAACCACCACTTGGGGTTCATTACAACTGTCTAACAACCAACTTCGTACAACAAGGTTCGCTCCCACCGGCTGAAACACCTCTCACGAATCACTCCTCTCACTTCAACCTCAGGGTCAGGTCGCTCTCCCAACTCCTCCTCTTTGTATCCCTTAGGAGAAATCCCAAAGAGGGGAATCCGTCCATCATTGTGCTCTGTTAGCTTGAACAAAAATCACACGCCCCATGCTTTTTTCAGTAACACGCAGAACATCGCCTGCAGAGCGGCCTGCGCTCTCAGGCAATGCAACAGCTTTCAAATTAAACCTAACTACACCCACGTGTACGACATATCATGCCGAGCGTGCGAGTGCATGCAGATGGACATGCATGCACAACACGCGGGCACTCCGCCAGCCGCCCCACATCTCTTCATTTCCCCCCCCCTGGGGGCCCAGCGAACAGAACCATCATGTCATCCTTTTTCATCAAAAAAAAAATATAAAATGGTCGCTTCCCTTCACTACCCTTCACTCCTCAACCCGCTACTTCGCGTCAGCCGTTTTCACTTCCATATATCCGCGCACTCGCCCTTATTTACCGTCGGCGCTCTTCCACTCCGCACATCCTGGTCCTCATCTTCTTTGCTTCATGCGGACACACCTGCTGCCACCAGCGCGGCCATCTTCTCTCGGATGACGGCCACCAGGGCGTCTCGGTTGGCGTTGACCCACCGTACTCGCTTGGCGTAGGAGCCCGCGCGGGAGGTCAGCGACTCCAGGGAATCCTCACCCGCAATGGCGCGGCCCTGCAGGGGATTTCCATCGCGATCATTTGCGGTCCTTAAATTTAATTACTGACTGACTACTAAATACGGTTTAACGAGTGATGTGAAACAGCTGATGTGGTTTTCTATGATCTGTTTAATAAAAGTTTCAAGCAAAAGTTATTTGTCGTGACGAGTTTTGCGAGACGCTGGCTAAAGCTACAGTACGTGCAGTTTCAAGCTGAATAATTTTTTCTAGGGGACTGAGATACGGCCATCCACTGGGGAATCCACTTTAACAAACTATCATCATTGTTTTCAGGCAAGTGAGGCGCTGCTGGACACTCTCACCGTGAAGTAGACAGCATTGGAGAAAATGCGCAAGTTGATCAGGTCAGGAATCGCCGCGATTTCCGCGTCGGTTAGCTGACCATGCTGCGCGAACCCGCTCACGAAGCGCTCGCACAGCGGCAGCGGATCATCCTCGCCGACATACCTGGTAGATAGTACAACACGTACGGCAGGCGCATGTAAAATTGTGCGGCATTGCTTGGGCTATTAAAAAAGCTTAAAACTGTATTCCTGGTATGGCGACGCAGGACATTTACAACTTCCCGACAGGCCTTGAAGCCATATTAACCCTCCCCCCAGCCCCCCACATCCACATCACATACTTGGATAGAGCCACGGCCAGCTCCATCGCCCGCCAGTCGTACGCACAAAATTCAAAATCCAGCAGTCCCGAAACGGTGTCGCCCACCACCATCACATTGTCGTAGTGCAGGTCACCGTGAATAAGCTGCGGTTGGGGGTTAAGACGAACCGTTGACAGTTAAGGCAGATAATAGAGATAGACGGATATAGTCCAGGAGAAGACGGTTGGGGGGTACTGTGTACGGCAGGGTTGAGGGAAGAACGTACCACGGGCGGAGCTTCAAATTTACGGACAATACGTGAAAAGGTTCAGAAGGATTCTGTAAAGAACGAATTGCGGTCGGGTTGTCGTGCTAAACACGGCAATCCAGGGCCTCACGTATCGCGACGTGGCGTGGCGTGGCCTTCCTGAATCGGAGCAAACAAACAACGACCAGATCCTTAGCGCGCCTGTGCCGACAATTCCCCGCGGTTTAACGGTCTTCGCCTACCTGCATAGGCAGATCTTGCTGCAAGTAGGTTGCCAGCTTCTCCTCAATCTTGCGAATCTCCGAAACCAGAAAATCAATTGCCTGATGATGACGAGCATTAGCAGCAGCAGCAGGTAAACTAAAACAGCAAAAGCAAAACGAAAGTATGTCAACCACAAACGAAGCAAAAAATAAATCAGGGACACAACTTCGAGAAGGAAACGATTACGGGACGAGAGAGCAATCCTGAAAGACTTCTTGGAGTCTGGAAGGGACTGCGTGCGGATGAATCCAACAGCAATGTCGTATATGGAAGGCCGTACATGGCGTCGTGGGAGGCTCACCACCACCGATATCGACCACGTCTTCATGACCCGCGCCCCGCGCCCTTGTGCACTCTCGTCCTCCGCATACCTCCAAATCCTGAGGACCAAGTAGCTGCGTCGCGTACCCTTCACCTTTGCACACCCGCGCTCAATGCTGACCGCCAACCGTCCAACCAACCGTCCATTAACTAATTCATAACCGTCTTACCTCCCGACATGAGTTGAAGTCAGGGTTCGTGGCAACCTCCCGGTAAAACACCTCCGCGTCGCCTCCAATGGCGTGATGTACCTGGACGCATGCATGCATGATGGATGGATGGATGGATGCATGAGCAGCAGGAAAGCAGCACTAGCCCAGCAGCAGATCGTCCTCGTACAGACTTCTTCAACTTCTATGTGCCGTACTGTACGTACTACACTCTCTAGGGGAAAACCCACATCGTACGGCAATGCGGACAGCTCGGAGATCCCGTTCCATCACACCCCCAACCCCTCATGTCTGGAGGCAAGCACCGGAGCGCGTCAGATTGCGCTGCGCTGCTTCTAGATGGCTAGATGGGAAAGGAAGGACAATCATCATCACCACCAGCACAGCCGTCATCACCACCACCAGCACCACCGTCACACCACACAATGGATACGACACACAAGATCGTCCTTTTTGTCTACCGTACCTTGAACAGCTCAAAGTATGGCGGGATGGGCGCCTTCATACCCTCAATGCGGACCTTGCCCATGGCCGAGCAGAGCTCTCCGGTGGCACGGCCGACCTGTACGACAAACCGGATCCGAAACCAACAAGCGCGCCGTAGCGCAACAGAAATTAAACAAAACCAAGATTGAAACAGTAGCACCAGCAGCGACGGCGGCGATGGTTGCACGCGCGATCACCGCCGGGCTGCTCCGCTCTTCTCCGTCCTTCCTCGCTTATCCCGCATAAAAGCACATGCAAAACACACAGTAGGGAAAACGGCCGCACGGACAGCTCAAACACATCCGCGCGTTGCCAGTCCCAACCCCCAAGGATGGCCTTATGCCACTATCCAACCCTACCCCATTCCCCATCCCTCACCTCCTCTCCCACTACCCACCCACCCCACCACATTCCCCACTTCCCACTCCTCACCCCCACCCCACTCCCCATCCCTCACCTCCTCCGGGCTTGTGGTCTTGGCCAGGGTACCCGGGATGATGTGGAAGATGCAGGCCTCGGCTCCGTTGGACAGCAGCTCGTGCGGGCGACCGGCCTTAGACGGGTAGGCGCGGGGGACCTGAGGGGCGAGGGGTGATAGCGGTTGTGTGGTGGTTGTGTAGCGAGGGCATTGGATTCGATAGGGATCGCCGGAAGGTTAAGCACGCATGTGGGGTTTGCGATGATGGTGCTTTGTCGGAGCGGTTGTGTTGAGGGGGGAAAACGAGTTTTCAGGATTTCAGAGTTCTTTTGGAATGAAGTTTTAACTTCGGAGGGCTTTCCTTGCTTTTCAGCTGCGATAACAGCATCAGGACGAGCGTACAAAAATAGGACGTTATCATCCGTTCTAAATGGACGTTCTAAATTGTAAATATTATCTTAATCAGAATTATCTCTATAAAATTACTTCTAACATTCTAAGGGTCATGCAACCGTAATGACGACTCGTGGGGCCCCGTCATTCCCCCTCACTGCCACCCGGCGTTCACTGAGCCTTGCCCAACAAACAAGCAACGAGCCTAGCCAAGCCATCCGAAATCTCGACCTAAACTCCTAAGCGGAAAATTTCCCCGAGCCACCGCATAACTAATGTTGCCCGGCGTAAGCCCCATCACGGCAGGTTACCCATAGGCTCATCCCGCCGGCATCTTTTCAACAACCCTACTTCTGCCAGCCGCCGCTCTGCTTACCTGGCTTTCCTTGACCCCTGCTCCATCCACATACGCTACTACTCATCACTCGACAAGCTCTTTCCCAACTAATTTTAACCAACCCTAACTGCCAACCGCTAACCAACTCACCTGGAAAGACAGCTCCTGCTGCGCCAGCTGACTCAGAATCGCGTGCTGGAGTGTACGTGTACATTTACGCGACGTGCAGTTTCGGAGTTAGTGTACGGAAAACATTTGGCGAGGACAGGAGCAAGGTGGAGAGGGTCAACGGAGGAACTGGGAACGAGTGACGGATATTATTATAATTATTCACGTGTTAGAACGGATATATTCATATAATTTCTTATAATCCGGGATTGTAAGAATAATTATATTGGATAAATTAATAATATCATGCAAGAGCGCGAAGTGGGCGAATGGGCTCCAGAACCAGGTAAAAGACAACTGAGCGACAGAAAGGAAGCTGGAAGCCTTGCACGCATTACTACTGCATACATGTATACACACTGGTTCTTCTGCGCACGCGCACATGCATGGACGAGGAGGAGGGGACTGTGGGGACCCCTCACGCCCCTCTTTCGCCCCCTAGGGGGAGAGTGCTTCGGCGGTCGTTCCCGTTGGGGTACGGTTAGGCGGCCCTGGCCAGCGTTAGGCCCGGGTCGATATGAAACAGAAACATACACACATACATACACATATATACATACATGCATGCATACATACATAGATACATACATTCACGTAGCCCTCGCCAGGCGACCCCGCCCCGCCTCACCTCGAACCGGACCTTCTCTGATTTGTTGCCGTTGTTGTAAATGCGCAAGATGTAGCGCTGCCCGTCCGATGTCTCAACATACTGCATACGGGTGTATGTATGTATGTATGTAGGTAGGTAGGTATGTGCATTCAAATTGAGAATTCGTCGTTGTCATTCAAATAATAATGTTATCATGTCATCTTGGAGTTGCTTGCCATTAGCAACGTTGTTGTAGTGGTGGTAGTGGTTGCTTTTGTTGTAGCGAATAACCACGATTGTAATATGGAAGGGGTTCCCTCCCGTACAATAAGGGGGACGAAGGATGGAGGCTAAATGCATGGCATGACTCACCCACCCACGCACCCACTAGTCCAACTACCCATCCGCCCGCCCAGGCACACATCCATCCACCACCACCCCCACCCCCACCACCACCACCCCCACACACGCACACACACACACACACACCCCACACACACAGCACACACACATCTAAAATATCAAGGCCATAAACACACACAGATCCACGCACGGCCCACCTGCACGACGTTGTTCACGCCGCCGGTGGTGGGAGTGGTCCTCAGGTCGGAGCTGTCGAAGAAAAACGACAGCGCCTCGTCCCGAAGCGCATCCTCCACCGTATGCTGCCCAGTCTTGGGCGCCGAAGGGGCGGCGGTAGTGGAGCTCTGCGAGCAGCAGCGATGCCACGAGTTGTCGGAATGGGTAGGGGCCCCGTGAGGGGTGCGGGGCAGAGGACCCAGTTGAAGCCGTTGGGGGTTGAGGGATGGGTTCCTCTTGTTAGGAGCAGGAGGGGGCCTTATGGCGCCAAGTGAAGTGAAGTTCGGATAGATGGAGGCGGATAAGTGGGGGAACGGGACGAAGAACAGGACGAGCACCTATACGTATGAAACTTCAAGCTGTGCGCTTTGAAGGAGATAAAATTAAGTTGAGCTATGCACGGAGACGAATGGCCGCTCGGAAGAAAAGGTTCGCGTTATGCCCTGGTCATGCGGACGGACAACAGGAAAGGCTTGCGGTGTGTTAAAGTTTAAGCTTGAATCAGCTATACTTTATTTTCTTACGTCGTTGAGTTAATGGAGTAAGCGCAAATAACTCTATTATCTTCAAGTTGCTATGATTAATGTGGCCCTTATGCTTACCAGCGAGACAACGCGGCGGCGAGCGGCAATCGGAAGAGACCGAGCACCGCAGGGACGCGTGCAAGTGCGCACACCACGAGAGAGCAGCGCCATGGGTGCAAGTATGCACAGTAACGCTTACAGGAAGCTGTAAGAATGCAATAGTCAACAGGTGCGTGATCTGCGCACTGTACAGTGCAGCAATAATCACGGACAGGTGTAATTGTGTAGCTTCAGAAATGAAACAGGTGTGCGGTCTGGAACGCGTATGCCGTACCACGGCCAAAAAAGAGGCTTCATCATGCGTCGTAGCTTATTTGATGTTCAATTTCATAAGTCGTGTTGGGCTTGTTCATTGGAGATACTCCCACTTTCCCTGCTGTGTGTTAGTTGCAGTTGGCATTTTCCAGACCGCATTCAAGGCCAAGGCATCCCGATTTCCATGGACTGAACCTCCATCAAAGCTTAAAGGTTCCTTTCTTCAGTCAGACACCGCCAGGCGCTCATGTGTGATCACCAAATGCCAGTTCTTAAAACGCTTTTTAATTAAATTATTTCAACGGCTTCTAGATATGCCGAAAGTCGATAGGCAGTCTCCAGACCTGTTTTCCTGCATAACTGCCTCACTCACGGGGAGGGATAGAGGACCTCGTTCTTACCCGTAAGTACGAAGTTAGTTCTTCACGCGCCTCCCCATGTTGCACTCTGGACTACAAGTAAGAATTGCTTACAGACTTTGATACCGAAGTTGGCATACGCGATTGGCTAAATGACATAAATAGCAAGGGCTTCCATAAATAGCAAGGGCTTCCGTGCCCGTTAGTTCGCTCGTTCACTTAAAAGCTAGTAATATAGGTTTTCCAAGCCATGTTTTCATTACATGAACTGTCACTGACATGTTGGCGCCAAAACGCGATGGTGGGCAGGAGGTGGCGTCAAACCCGATGTAAAGAAGTTTGTGTTCGATCGATCGGATGGTGTGATGTGGTATGATATGACTCTGTAAAGTAAACTCACTTCGCGTAACCTTGACGGCTTTCAGTTCTCCCGTTCTTGCGTTAGGTTTCTAATCTACTGTGTTACCCTGATGTTGCCGGGTTCCACCCCTGCCGCCGCCACGTAACTGGTGGCGGTGCCCCCGCTGCCCCTCAAGATCATCCCCGCACCTCTTTACAGAACGAGGCGAAGGCTTCCATTCCCACTGTAGAAGAATGCATGGTGAAAACCATTCACTTGCATTGCGTACATCTCCAGCGATGCGCTGAAAGGGTACTAGAGGGCGGATAGGAAGAGAACATTCATTCATGCGCCCGTGGAGGATGATTCCAGTAGGTTGGAAACACATCCCCATGAAAATTGAGGTGGCGCAGCGGAAGCGTGAGGGCTCATGACCCCGCTATCTGAGGATCGAAAGATATTGACTAGCATGTTGATTGACCCTTGAAATATTCGACCTTTGTTCAGCTAGAAGAGCGAAGAATTGTAATAGGGCGTATGCAATGATCGCTAGGCCGCCTGTTTGATCCAGCTGGCAGGTCGGATCCACTTTTGCGCGTTGCTTGATGCGTGCTCCTACTCTTTATTTCTTGCTATGCATGTTAGGTTTTATCGTTAGTTGTTAAGTCGTTAAGCATTTGGATTATGGATAATGTACGACCTTCCGGCGCCGCCTAGGCTCTGGATAACTATTTAAGTCGTTGTGTTGTTTAGATTGTTATGTCATCATTGTTGCATCTTGTAGGCTGTTAGCTGGCTTAAGTCGCTCGGCCCTCTTTGTAATCATCGTGACATCCCAACGAGAACCGGAGTCCATTCCCTTTCAGTTGGTATCGATTTAGGCGATCCGGCCTATACGCTTCGCTCCGCCTTCGTTTTCGTCGTCATCGCTTCGAGAACCGGAGTCCATTCCCTTTCAATGCACAGAATGAAAAATCTCATTTTAGGCGTAGCCGAAAATGTGGTTTGCAGACGAGCGTCAGAGCGGCGTCGTAAGGTGCGGTTGGTTGGTTGTTGTCTTCAGCTGCTGTTTTGCTCGGTGGTGGTTCATCTTGTCTATTAATCTTCTTTGTGATCTCTGACTCGGCTTCTGGTTGGTACGAGCTCTCTTTACCATAACAGCAGCTAGTTGCCGCTGTTATTGCCTGGTGTGGATCTGGCGACCTTTCTTTACGTTGGGCGACCTTTCTTGTCTTATTAATCTTCAACTCATTTCGTCAGTTCGTCTGGTGTTGGTTGCTGTAGCCATGTCGCCCTTTGACCATCTGCGCACGACCGCTGACTGCGACCGAGAGCTGGTCTCCTTCCCACCGCTTTCATCGGATGAACTGGACATATTGCAACGGGTAGAAGATCAGCTTTTGGCTATCGACGAGGCGTTGGCGACAGACCTCGGCTAGCAGGAGCAGCATTTGCCCGCTCAGGCTTCGAAATCAGCCAAGGACGCCCACACAGCCAAACTCGAGTCCATTCGGCGCAAGCATGAGTCACAGCGTTCGAGACTCCTTTGAGCCAACCCGTCCGTTACCGACCTGAAGACTCACGACACCACTCGGCTGGCGATTCAAGAGCGCAAACTCA